CGTAACTGGAACCAAACCTTACATGACTATATTTGACACAGAGTTCACTCACATGAATTTCACTCACATGTGCTGTAGAAGTGATTTGATTTGAGAGTTCAAACTCACTGCTGTAATGGCTTATGATGATTAATATAATAACTATAATATTGGCCATATCATATTTACACTGACTTAGTCTCATGAACAACATTAGCTAATTGTTATTTACTAGCTAATCTTAAATGACTGCAGTACAAATATGAAGGCCAACAATCATGTTTTACAGTCCTGTGGTCTCAGCCTCAGATACTTATTAAATCACACAAAGCTCGTGTAGAAACAAACACACAAACAAAATATGTTCTCTTTCATTTCTGTCAAACAAAACTGTATGAAACGTTTCCAGCGATTGGTGTATGGTGCTAGGCAACCTGGGCAGCGCGATGGGAGGCTAGACCGTCCCATTTCACAAGCTCTTACTTCCGGCTTAGCGGTCTTTGAGTAGCAGCCTTTGAGGATCGTTGAGGCTGCGTACTTTAAGGCTGCAGACCCTGAATTGGGATACAGCCTTTGTCTCATGTCAGTGTTTTCAGTTTTGCTTCCTTGGTCTCATTAGCCCTGATGTCTCCCACCAGTGTTCACCTCCTGCCTCTCATTCCCCTCGTTATGCCCTGTGTATTTTAGCCCTGTATTTTCTGTGCTCCCTGTCGCGTCGTAAACGGCACTAATCCTGTGCTGTGTGTCTCCCCGTGGATTAGTTTTGTATTGTCTCTTATTTTCCAACCAGCAATAAAGCTGCCGTTTTTGAGTTTCACTCCAGTCTTCCGAGAGTCTGCATTTTGGGTCCTTTTCCTCGTTCCTGCCTGCACACAGCTGAACTATGACATTTAGGTATGTAGACATGGTCTACATACATACCTGCATGTTAGACCTAATCCCGAACCAAACTATTTAAAGCGGTATTTCCTTTAATTGTTGCTCCAGTTTTGGATATAATGAATTTATTTTTAGAAAATGGATACGTACCATAGGATTTTAAGGTTGCTGTAATTAAACCTCTATTAAGAAACCCTCTTTTAATCAAGACAACTTAATGAACTATAGACCTATATCTAATCTTCCCTTCATATCTAAAATTCTTGAGGTAATAGTTGCCAATCAGGTGTGTTAGCACTTAAACAATAACGACCTGTTTGAAGAGTTTCAATCTGGCTTTAGAGCTCATCATAGCACTGAAACAGCTCTGGTGAAAGTTACTAATGATATTCTCATGGCCTCAGATAATGACTGGTGACCATTCTGGTTCTACTGGACCTCAGTGCTGTTTTTGACACATTCAATCACAATATTCTCATAGAAAGGTTTGAAAATGTTGCAGGGATCAAAGGAACAGCACTAGGCTGGTTTAAATCTTACTTGTCCAACAGACTCAAGGTTTGTTTACGTAAATGATAAATCCTCTTCAACCTCTATGGTTACTTGTGGCGTACACCACAGGGTTCTGTACTTGGACTGATCCTTTTTACTATATATATGTTCCCTATTGGTAAAATCATTAGACAGCATGGATAAATTTCCATAGCTATGCACACCTAAATCCTGATGAACCTAATCAGTTATAAAGATTACGGGCATGCTTGGAAGACATAAAAACCTGGATGTCTTCAAACTTCCTCCTTTTGAATTCCGACAAGACAGAAGTTGTCTTTGGACCAGAAGCTCAGAAAAACAAATTACTTGGTCAGTCCCTTCATCTGGATGGCATTAAATTAGCCTCCAGTAATAAAGCAAGAACTCTGTGTTATTTTTGACAAAGACATGTCATTTAGATCTGACATGAAAGAGGTTTCTAGGGTCTCCTCCTTCCACCTCCGTAATATTGCTAAAATTAGAAACATCCCATCCAGGAGTGATGCTGAAAAACTAGTTGATGCCTTTGTTACTTCAAGGCTGCATTACTATAACTCTTAACTATCAGGAAGTCCACATAATGCAACTAAAAGTCTTCAGCTGATCCAAAATGCTGCAGCCAGGGTTCTGATGAATATCAAAAGAACAGATGACATCTCCTCCCGTGTTTTAAATGCACTTTAGAACAGCACGCAGCAACACTACATATGAGCGAGCGGAGGGAGGCATGGGGTCTTCACAGAGCCCCACTCTCTGCCAGCCGTCAGGCGGGGGGGCCTGAAGGTGGAATTGGCCATCTGATCGAGGCCTGGGTTGCAGCGGCCCCCTGCCACTGCGGAGCCGGGGACGGTCTGCTTGATTTCCACCTCAGGGAGGAGGGCAACATCTGGGTCTGGGTATGAGTTCCCCCTCCGGGGCAAGAATACCTGGACCTGGGATGTAGAGAATGTTTGGGGAGTGTGATTGTGTGTACAGTGTCCATTTATGTCTGTGTCCACGTTGGGTGAGGGCCGAGTGTTTGTGGTTGTGTGTATGAGGGTGGGAAGGTATGTTTGTGTCTGCCGTACACATCACCACAAACAACACCACAAGCAGAGCACAAGTTTTAAGCCAGCGTGGTGTGATTATAGATGCCGTGCAGGTGGGTCCATCTCACATGCAGCGGCATCGGCAGAACACGCCCCGCCACATACCTCTTCCCCGACTAAGACCGAGGAGCCACCTCCCCCCTCCATGAGCAAGCGAGGGAATAGGCCTGGAGCATCAGCGCCCAGCCCAGCCACGGGAAGTGACTACCTGGGCGTTCGCCTGTAGATCTAGCGGCGCTGGTGACGAGGTGGTTCCAGGGACCGCCACCTTCCACGGCACCCCCATCCCGCTAGCGCACCAGCCTGTGGCTCACCTGAGCCGGTCGTTCCCTCGCGCTGTCCAACAATTACCAATAATTATACGGTTGCTGTAACAGATTGTAGATACAATGCAGGTGAGTCCATCTCACCTGCAGCAGCATCCCAGACCAGCCACAATAATAAAGATTTTTCTATTTCATTATAAATTTGTCCTAATTATGTCATGAGTTTTACTATTTAAAAAGAAAAAGAAAGCATCACAAAAACACTTAAGGTCATGAAAATTAATTGTATTGCTGCAATACTTAAATATCTGTGGTCTAATCTATTTTTATTCACCAATCTCATTGTAGCAATAATATGCCTTTTTGGTCCAAGTTAATTATTTGAATTTAAAACTCTTTTAGCCAATAACTTTGAAGTTGTTACTAAAACTCATCATCCCCATTTACTACTTTTGTTTCATTCTTAAAAATTTAGAAGCATAAATATCAGTCTTTTGGAAAAATTACATTTTATACAGTATTATTAAGTCTACATATTCCAAGTGAGTTATGTCAGAATCCACTAGAGCAATTTAACTCTATTACATCATAGCATTCTATTTGCAAGAATCCCAGTGTTAATCCACTGTTCTTGGCCAATGATATCCACTCCTCAGCACTATGGGGGCGCTAATGTACATCTACGCTGGTTGCCAACCACCATGAACATTTAAGAGCAGAAGAAGAGAGAAGAGGACACTAAGAGTTCAGGTGCACGACATGAGGATTAATGAGACAGCTTTTATCTTACTGCTTTCGTGGAAGATCAGGTGAGAACCATACAAATTCCCTTACACATGATGTTAATAAATATATTCATCCAATAAAGCAAAGTAATATAGGTTATTATATTACGTTCGGATACACCAAAGCATCTAATTTTGACAGTTTAGCTAGCCAGCATGCTAGTAGCAAAAGTTTGACATTCTGTTGCTGTTGGTTTGATTAATTTTGGTTTAGCATCACAAACTTGTGGTTTAAAACTAGTGAGATCTGTTTCAGAAATATTTTACAAATGAAACAAAAACTGTAGGACAAATATGCTTATTGTTCAACCATACTAAATCATTATTTAATTTATAACTTTAAGAAATATAAAAGGTTAAGGAAATGTGGATATGAAAATTAACTCATTAAGATTTGCAGTAACCTTAGACCAAATAAAATATACGAAACAGAACTTCCACAGGTAGGGCATGCAGCCTCTGACACACAGTGATACAAGATAGGAGGAACACAGATATTTGGAACCTTTAGGGGAGCTCTCCCCAACATAAATAGATTTTTCGATCTGTTTATTTCTATGTCTACATACATTTTGTAGTATAATGTGTTATTTCTAAATCATTAATACTGATCTTTGCAGGGGATGGCGGCAACAAGGCCACGGAGAGCTAAAATAAATCCCATACAAGATGCTAGGTATTACTGCTCCTTAGGTGAAGACAAGGCAGGATTTGATGTGAGGTATATTGATTCATTTAAAGGTGAGTTGATTCCAAGAATGCAGTCAGCTTCTCAAAATAGAAATTTTTATGTTTTTTGTAGTTTTTTGTAGCATACTATGCATGAGAAAATTAATAATCACGAATATAATTATACTTGTTGTATTATTATTATTATATTTCTATTTTTCCTTGTCTTTCCCCAAGAATATAACATGTTACATGTTCCAAAATAATAATACAATATAATCAAATAAAAAACATATTTAAAAACAAGAAGGATTTTAATTAAATGGTTTATAGTTTATTGCCCAATTTGTTTTTGATGTGTGTCTTTAGGTCGCGGTGTGTTCAGCTGTCGGTCATTTCAAAAGGGAGATTTTCTTTTTGAGTACAGAGGACAAATCATAACTAAAGAGGAACAAGAAAACCGAATGAAACTTTACCATGATGCACTCAAGGTTTTCATATTTGATTTCAAGTTCAATGGAAAACAGTTATGGTATGTAACTACTTTGATAAAGGATAAAATACATGAGGTTTACAAATTATAATATTCAAATAATATTTTGAATTGAATATTAAAATGTTATTCAGACGTTCTACAACCTAATATACTTAATGACTTTCTTTACAGAGTGTAATTGTTATTGTATACTTTTTGTTTTAGTGTTGATGCTACCAGAGAGGACGGCTCCTGCAGACTTGTAAATGACGATAATGTGAATCCAAACAGTAAAATGACAGTTACCAGAGTGGATGGAAGGCCCCATCTCTGTTTGTTTGCAATCAAAGATATTGGTCCAGGAGAAGAAATCACCTATAACTATGGTGATTCCAACTGGCCATGGAGAAGCAAGGTATAATGTAAATAGTACAGTATAAGTATAAATAGTATTAAATGAATAAAGGCTATACTGAAAAGTATGCATACACACACGGGTCCTGTGTAATACTCAACTGGACAGGTCCAGACATTAGGAGGACTGTATTCATCTTGGCTAGACCCAAAGACTGCCATTCATTATTCATGCTTCTTCCTTAGAAATCCAACATGGTGGCATCTCAGGCTGTGGATGAGATTGCAGCCAGTTCCTCTCCTAACGACGCAACAAAGGTAAATTGGAGTTTCAGTGTCAGATTGTTTTAGTTGTAGACTGAGGTGCTAGTTATTAGGCAGTATTGAGGTATGTGGGTCCTTGGTTATCTTGACCAAGTAAGATGCACGCATTAGGAGGACTGAGATTTGAAACAGGAAGTATAAACAACTGAGTTCTACCTACAAGTGCGCCCACACACACGGGTCCTGTGTATTACTCAACTGGACAGGTCCAGACATTAGGAGGACTGTATTCATCTTGGCTAGACCCAAAGACTGCCATTCATTATTCACGCTTCTTCCTTAGAAATCCAACATGGTGCCATCTCAGGCTGTGGATGAGAATGCAGCCAGTTCCTCTCCTAACGACGCAACAAAGGTAAATTGGAGTTTCAGTGTCAGATTGTTTTAGTTGTAGACTGAGGTGCTAGTTATTAGGCAGTATTGAGGTATGTGGGTCCTTGGTTATCTTGACCAAGTAAGATGCACGCATTAGGAGGACTGAGATTTAAACAGGAAGTATAAACAACTGAGTTCTACCTACAAGTGCGCCCACACACACGGGTCCTGTGTATTACTCAACTGGACAGGTCCAGACATTAGGAGGACCGAGTTTCGAAATGAATTCAGATCAATGAGAGTTACTCTGGCAATTGTGCATACACACGGGTCCTGTGTATTACTCAACTGGACAGGTCCAGACATTAGGAGGACTGTATTCATCTGGCTAGACCCAAAGACTGCCATTCATTATTCACGCTTCTTCCTTAGAAATCCAACATGTGCCATCTCAGGCTGTGGATGAGAATGCAGCCAGTTCCTCTCCTAACGACACAACAAAGGTAAATTGGAGTTTCAGTGTCAGATTGTTTTAGTTGTAGACTGAGGTGCTAGTTATTAGGCAGTATTGAGGTATGTGGGTCCTTGGTTATCTTGACCAAGTAAGATGCACGCATTAGGAGGACTGAGATTTGAAACAGGAAGTATAAACAACTGAGTTCTACCTACAAGTGCGCCCACACACACGGGTCCTGTGTATTACTCAACTGGACAGGTCCAGACATTAGGAGGACCGAGTTTAGAAATGAATTCAGATCAATGAGAGTTACTCTGGCAATTGTGCATACACACACGGGTCCTGTGTATTACTCAACTGGACAGGTCCAGACATTAGGAGGACTGTATTCATCTTGGCTAGACCCAAAGACTGCCATTCATTATTCACGCTTCTTCCTTAGAAATCCAACATGGTGCCATCTCAGGCTGTGGATGAGAATGCAGCCAGTTCCTCTCCTAACGACACAACAAAGGTAAATTGGAGTTTCAGTGTCAGATTGTTTTAGTTGTAGACTGAGGTGCTAGTTATTAGGCAGTATTGAGGTATGTGGGTCCTTGGTTATCTTGACCAAGTAAGATGCACGCATTAGGAGGACTGAGATTTGAAACAGGAAGTATAAACAACTGAGTTCTACCTACAAGTGCGCCCACACACACGGGTCCTGTGTATTACTCAACTGGACAGGTCCAGACATTAGGAGGACTGAGTTTAGAAATGAATTCAGATCAATGAGAGTTACTCTGGCAATTGTGCATACACACACGGGTCCTGTGTATTACTCAACTGGACAGGTCCAGACATTAGGAGGACTGTATTCATCTTGGCTAGACCCAAAGACTGCCATTCATTATTCATGCTTCTTCCTTAGAAATCCAACATGGTGGCATCTCAGGCTGTGGATGAGAATGCAGCCAGTTCCTCTCCTAACGACGCAACAAAGGTAAATTGGAGTTTCAGTGTCAGATTGTTTTAGTTGTAGACTGAGGTGCTAGTTATTAGGCAGTATTGAGGTATGTGGGTCCTTGGTTATCTTGACCAAGTAAGATGCACGCATTAGGAGGACTGAGATTTGAAACAGGAAGTATAAACAACTGAGTTCTACCTACAAGTGCGCCACACACACGGGTCCTGTGTATTACTCAACTGGACAGGTCCAGACATTAGGAGGACTGAGTTTAGAAATGAATTCAGATCAATGAGAGTTACTCTGGCAATTGTGCATACACACACGGGTCCTGTGTAATACTCAACTGGACAGGTCCAGACATTAGGAGGACTGTATTCATCTTGGCTAGACCCAAAGACTGCCATTCATTATTCACGCTTCTTCTTTAGAAATCCAACATGGTGCCATCTCAGGCTGTGGATGAGAATGCAGCCAGTTCCTCTCCTAACGACGCAACAAAGGTAAATTGGAGTTTCAGTGTCAGATTGTTTTAGTTGTAGACTGAGGTGCTAGTTATTAGGCAGTATTGAGGTATGTGGGTCCTTGGTTATCTTGACCAAGTAAGATGCACGCATTAGGAGGACTGAGATTTGAAACAAGAAGTATGAAACCCCAACCCTAAATCTGGTTTGCATAAAGACGTAGTTCTCGGCTTGGTTGAAATGAACTCTGATGTAGTTAGATCGCATATTTGAATTTCAGCTGATCAAGGAGCAAGAATGAAGCTTACTATAGGAAGGAGCATGTAAATACAACCGAAACAATCGCTAAACTCTTTCCTGTTAATGCTAAGCACATTTATGTAACATTGTTGTGTAAAGGCCATCCGTTATGTCTTGATGGATTCATGACTTCATGATTTAATTATACTTTGTTACACTCCCAGTCAAAACTTTGGACACATCTTCTCATTTCAGAAAGAACAAATTGTAAGTCTAATCTTTTTTGGGTGTTGTGGGTCCACAATGAATTTTCTTTTCATTGTGGTTTTGTAATATATACCATAATATAAAACCTAGAAGAACAAATTGTTTTGAAAATTGATCTATATACAGCAGGTATTTTTCCCTTTAAATTTTGCATTGCAAAAGTTACAAAAATTGATTTAATAGTTTTAGTAACACTTGAACCTGTTTTTTTTTTGTTTTTGTTTTTTTTTTCTTCCGTCCTTAACTCCTTTTTAAAGAGGAACCAAAACAACTATTTGGTTGTGATATTTTACATCACAAAAGTATGAATTTTGTTTTTGATTACACTGTTTTTTTTTTTTTGTTTTTTTTTACCAAACAGGACTGCGATCATGATCTAGTCCCTGACGAAATGTCAAGTTTAGAAAAATGTTTTGCATGTGGAGGACCTTTTTCGCCTCTGAAATGGAGTGGTGTGAGATGTGAAGGTAATTATTTAATTATGGAAGGTTGGGTACATTAGAATATCTTAAATATGATCCATAAGGAACACTATAAAAACTAATCCATAAGTAAATATGATATATGTTCATAATGAACCTTTTACATCTGCACTTTTTACATATTTACTTACCATGTCATTATTAAAGCTGCTATACCCAATTTGCAAAAACAAGTTAGCTTAACATATTTTTTTTCATGTTCATAACAACATTTTAACAAAGCATAGCTATAAATGTTGTTTGGAGATTAAAGAAAAAAAAATGAAGTGGTTCTGTTGCATTTGTCTAAAACCATCAGCCAATAACATGGCTCAGTCCAGAAAAACGATAGAACAGTCTTTCCTGACTCCTTAAATTCTACATTAACATGGCTCCACCACACTATGCACTGGCCTGTTTAGCAGCAAAGCACACCAGGGGGTGTGGCCTATGGATAATATCCAATGGGAGGGGGGAGCCTTCTTGACTGTGTTTATGCTTCCATCTAGCCTGTTTTTTTAAATTGGGGAAAGCGGCTTTAACTACCTTTCTTTTATTAACTTTTTCTCTGTCTAGTTTGCTACCAGTCCTGGCACAAAAGATGTTATGTTAGCCACAAGGTGAACCTCACTGAACCTCTTCCAGAGGTAAGTGTTTTTGCAGAATTCTTCTCAGTAAAATATGTAAGGTAAACAAAGTCTTTGTGTTTTTGATTGTTATTAGGTCTTTAGTGAAGATAGTTCAAGTGAGGGGGCTTCATCAGAAGAGGAATATGTGCCAGATTCTATAGCTGACTCAGACAGCTCATGGGACAACAAATCAGAGCCTTTAAATATAAGTTGCAAACAAGTACAGAACTCTGAGATCTCCAGCAGTCAATCTGCTTGCAAAACGAAAAGACCTCGCCTAGAAAGTTTTTTAGAGAGAGTAGGACAAAGAATTTCAGAAGATGCCGAATCAATATCTGAAGATGGAATTGGCACAAGACAGCTCGACGTATCAGGGGTTATTGCCACAGCAGAAAAGTCTGATGCTGAAGGCATTGTTGATGACTCTAATACTACGGCTGAAGATTCCTTAAAAACATCCTCCTCACTAAGAAACAAAACATACTGCTACATTTGTGGAAAACTACAGACAAAGTTTACACGTCATTTAAAAACTCATGAGAAATCACATGCAGATGTTGCTCGAGTTTTAAGTCTTCCCAAGAAGTCCAAAGACCGTTTGAAAATGCTTTCTAAGCTGCGAAACAAAGGAAACCACAGACATAACTCGGAGGTCATCGCAAGTGGGATTGGATCATTAAAAACCAGACGCACATCAAAAAAACCCTACAAAGGAAAAGACTATATTCACTGCATTTATTGCGAGGCATTATATCTTAAAAGAGATCTTTGGAGACGTGTTCGTAAATGTTCTTCAAAACCAGTGGAGGCCAATTCAGAGGGGGGACGAAAAAAGGTCTTGTCCCTGGCCTGTATGAGTGAGTCAGCTCTGTGTCAGCAAGTTTCCCCCGGTGTTTGGAAGATATTAGCTGTCATGAAAGATGATGAAATAACTTCTACTGTGCGAAGTGACTTCTCTATTCTTCAGCTTGCTCAATCATTCTTTAACAAACATGGGAAAGATCCACCAAATTTGACTACATTCGCCAGACACTCCGAGAATGTGGAAGACTTCTGCTCACACTTCGGAAAGAATGCTCAATACACACTTTTGAGGATGCTGTAAGACCTGCAAATTTCAATGTGGTTATCAAAGCTGTTAAGAAGGTGTGTGGGTATGATGAAGAAAAGAACTGCTACTCGACTCCAAGCCTTGCTTTAAAGTTGGGACACTCACTGCAGAAAGTCTGTGATATTATACATTGCAGAGCACTGATGGCAGAAGACAGTGCACTGATAAAGTCAACCCAGAGTTTCAAAACCCTTTATGCTACAAAGTGGTCAGAACTCATCTCCCATACTGCATTAACCACACTAAACGAGCGGCACTTCAACAAGCCTTCCACACTTCCTTTCACAGAAGATGTTCAGCGTCTTCATAGACATCTGGAGAAGACTACAGAACAAGCACTGAAGGACTTGGAAGAGCATAGTTCACCAAAATCATACAGTGAACTTTGTAAAGCTACCATGGCAAATGTAATACTATTTAACAGGAGAAGAGGGGGAGAAATTTCAAAGATGACACTGAATGGCTTCCAGGAGAGAGACACTAGTACCCTGCACAAGGATGTTGCAATTGGACTGACAAATTTGAACTTTACCTTTGTCAACACTTCAGTCGTGTAGAATTGAGGGGTAAACGAGGACGCAAGGTTGCAGTGCTACTTTCACCAGACATGGTGAATGCCATAACACGGCTGACAGAGAAAGACAAGACTGTGGTGTTCTGGCAGAAAACATATTCCTGTTTGCCAGACCTCATTGTCTGACTCCCTACAGAGGACAGGACTGTTTGAGGATTTATGCGACTGAATGTGGGGCTGAAAACCCTGAACACCTACGTTCAACGCAGTTGCGCAAACATGTCGCAACTTTGTCTCAGATCTTAAACCTCAAGAATCACGAGTTAGACCAAGTTGCCAACTTCCTAGGTCATGATATTCGTGTTCATCGCGAATATTATAGACTTCCAGAGGCTACTACCCAGCTTGCCAAAATATCCAAACTACTGATTGCCATGGAGAAAGGGTCTCTCAAAAGCCTTCAAGGCAAAACACTTGAAGAGATTGAAATCGAAGGTAAAGTGGTGTTAAGGTTAAGAATTATACACGTTTCCTGCACTATAACCTTATAATTCATTAAGACAATCTTTTATTTTGTTAGATAACCTACAGTTGACAGATTCAAGTGAAGAAAGTGAGGTCGGAGCGGAGCGTGAGGAGGTCGGAGCGGAGCGTGAGGAGGTCGGAGCGGAGCGTGAGGAGGTCGGAGCGGAGCGTGAGGTCAATGAAGGAAATCTTGTATATCCACAGATTGGTAAGTACAATGTGATTAGTCTCAACTTTGTTCAATTTATGAAATCACATGACTAATAGACTTTATTACAGATTCTATAGATACTAGAATGATGAAGAAAGTTGTCAAGGAACCTCCAGGTATGTGTTTGTCATCATTTATTGAAGCTTTTACCTTTGTAACTACTTCCTAGACACTTTTGCTATCTTTGCTATCTTTATGTAAAAAAAAAAAAGATAATTCATTACTATCATTTTTCCAGTGATTTTTACCTTTGTCCAAATGGTAATTTAAAGAAAGTCAAGGATCTTTCTAAAGACCAGCTCAACAGAATAGAAAGGTCAGTTTTGGAGGATGGTCAGGTAGGAAATGCTAGTTTGAACAGGTGATTTTGAGCTGTGATTTAAAGTTCTAGAGAGAATCTAATGAGCAGAGGAAGTTCCAGAGGGTGCAATTAGCAGTGGCAAAGGATTGTACCCTCAGATTTATGATTTTGATGATGGGGGTAAGGAGGTTAGTGTTAGCAGTGTTGTGGGAGAGTGACAGTAAAGACAATCCCTCAGGGTGGCGGGGGCGAGGTTGTTGAAGGCTTAAAAGTTGATTAGGAGTTTGCACTCAATACTATAGTCAGTGTGCAGCCAGTAATGTTCTTTTTAGGATGTGGTGATATAGTCTCTAGAGTGAGTGCAGTAGAGTAAGGGGGCAGCAGAGTTCTTAATAGATTGCAGTTCTTGGAGGTGAGTTTGGGGAAAGCAAAGATGCTGGGATTCTTTTTGAGGTGGAGAGAATGGATAGGATTAGGAAGAACAATATCATTGGGACTGCACATGTTGGAAAAAATGTCTACATTGTTCTACATTGGCCAGGTTGAGGTTGTGTTGGGCATGTGCAAACAAGGGACAGTGAGGAAGGTTTGTTGAAGGATGTTAGAAAGGAAGCTGCCCTGCAGGAGACAGAAGGAGATGAGATTAATCAAGAGAGATGAAAATAGTTGGTGTGTGGAGGGCTGATCTACTACTCTTTATTTACCTGGTTTGCGCTTCTGAAGTATTCCCTCTACGCTCTCATCCTCTTTCTACAGTAAATCAGTGGTGAGTGGAAAGTTGACCAGTCACCGGAGTAGTGATGGGTCGTTCGCGAACGAAATGGCTCTTAGAGCTGGTTCTTTGAAGTGAACGATGCGAGCCGGCTCCTTATTGGGAGCCGTGGATTTTTTTTTTTTACTTTCTCTTGCCCTCTCTCTTTTTTCACTTTTCACTTTTTTCGCTGCACGTCTGCCTTGTGTTTGCGCTGAGTAGAGACGGGAGGGGCGCAAACAGAGCCTTGCGTTTGCACCCCTCCCGCCTCTGAGCAGAGGGAGGAGCTAGGGGCGGTAGTTACACTCGCAACAGCAGTAGCACACGAAAAGAGCAGCAGGGAGAGAGAGAGAAAGAGAGCCGGGAGCAACAACAAGAGACAATGTCGTCACATTAGAAAGGTGGAGTAAAGAAAATGAGTGACACCAAGAAAAGAAGCAAAATCTAGAACCATTTAAATTTTACTGACAATACATAGGCAGAGTGTAGAGTCTGCAAGAAAAGGATATCATATAGAGCCGGTGCACGGGCACCTGAAAACTGTCCACTCATCAGTGCGATGGGAAGATAAAACACAGTGAATTAAGTGTGATATAAGTGAAGCTGCCAGTGTGTCTACCCACTGAGCTGAGCACTGGGCACTTGGTATTTTTAAATTTAAAGTTTAAATTTTAAAAGTTAAATTGTAAATGGTAGGTTTTTGTATTTTATAATTTATTTTTTAAATTTTATGTGGAGTGAATAAATAAAAGCAGATTTATATAATGAACATATATACATAGAAAACACGTTTTTAAACATTAGTAATTCATTTTGTGCATAATTTTATATTGTTGTTAATAATAAATGAATGAAAGCAACAAAATAACCTGAAGAGCCGGTTCGGGAGCCGAAAGAGCCGGCTCTTTTTAGTGAGCCGAGCCGAGAGAGCCGGATCTCTAAAAAGAGCCGGAAATCCCATCACTACACCGGAGTCTTGTTTGGAGAAAAATTCAGCCTTGTATCTTTTAATATCAGCTGTAATAGCTCTAGCCATATTCCACATTCACATGTGTCACCTTAAACTAAAAGTCATAGTTGCGACTCTGGATTTATCTTAGAAACCATATTCAAGATTTCAAGGTCCATTAGTTGCTTGACCACATTCAGGAGCATTTGACATTACATTATAAGAGATTTAATACAACAAATATATGCTTACTGTTTTGTTTTGTTTTTCAGCACAAAGTAAAAATGGAGCGGGTAAGGTCATTGAACCCAACAGAATACTAAACAAGGAGATGAAGCCAAGCAGTAAGAAGAAAACAAATGAACAATCTGGTAAATGGTGACATGCATACAAAAGTCACTTAAGCACAAATGTAAACTTCATGCATTTTTGAACCCAGTTATCCACACCACCCAAGCCAGTATGGTGACTATGCTCATCTTTCTGCCAGGGACCGTACCATAATTCTACAACTTGGTTAGACAATTATATTAACCTACTTGGTAAGGTAAAACATAAATCACATTCAATGTGGAACAATACCTTGTATTAAGTAATGGGATAAATGTTTAAATTACTTTCCCTATGCCTGTTTTAATCTGTAATACATTTAAATACTTATCATTTTCAAAACAGCAATGCACCAAAACAATTAATAAACAAAGCAATGAGAACATATTATGATTTGGGTTTTTAATTTTGAGGATTCCTCAACCATTGGGCTTCTACATTATCTCCATACTCTGAACATCATCTTATTCCCATAGGCAGAATCTGGATAATATTGGAAAATTTGGGCTGGTTTGGCTAATTGTGGGCTGTAACCTGAACGTCTTGAAGAAAATTATGTTCACTGAAAAAACCTGAAGGCCCACCTCATGGTCAGGCAGGGTCCACCCTTGTTTTTAAATAAACATTTGAGTCAGACAGTTATATATGAAATGTTTGAGTATATGTTATACATTTCAAATTATTACAATATCATGCTATACATGTTTTTTGTTGTATAACGGTGTGTGGAATAAAATGCTCTCCATCCATAGTGATTTGCCATAGCTATTTATTGGAATTCTGACTTAATGTGGGCTACCTTTCAGAATTTTACATTTAAATAAATGTATTCATCCATTGTAATAAGTATTTAAACAGTCAGCATTACAGGATTTATACCAAAGAAACACTGTTACAACAAATTCACCTTAAAGGGGACATATTATGCAAAACCCACTTTTTTTTGTTGCTTTTGTATGTATATTTGGTTATGAATTGCCTCCCGACTCCTTAAGTGTAGGTTTTCAACAACTAAAAAAGGAGCTCTTTTAGGTCCCAGGTAGTGTATTTTGCACAATCCAGCATAATCACAGCCTCAGCACCTGTCCTCGTGGACAATGCAAAGGCCGTCTTTGGGCTGTGTAGACTAAACACTAACTGTTCTTAGCAGGGCTGTAAAACTAGTGCATGCAGAACTCAATTCTTCGGCTTATTTGAAGGAAGCCGATTATCGCCATTATATTTTTGCATCCTACAACCATGTCAACTCACACAATTGAGCATAATACGTCCCCTTTAATTTAAAAATTGTTTAAAAAGTAGTTTGTTTACATTTATTTTTTTCTGCTTCTAGCTTCTCTGGAAAATGCAAGGAGGGTCAAAAAGCATCCTTGGTCTCCCACGGAGGTTGCTGCGATAATGAAGTATTTTGGC